TTGCTAGATTCAATAAGCTCCGATGACTTAGATTGAGACCGTGATAACATCGCTTTTGTACCGATTGTGACTCATATTTCACACCAAAGTTCTTACAAAAGCGCCTTCCAAAAGGCCTTTTTTTCTGTAGAGTTTCCTCCCGAAAATTCTCAAGGGGGTTTTTACCGAAGTAAAGATTGCCACACTGAGGCGCAACGCAGAACGGGAAACGACCCAAGACAACAATGCAGACTTCAGTGTCAAGAAAATAACAAATATAAGAAAATGATAAGTGGACACAAAAATAACACACTTTTGTTTTTGCTTGTCGTATATTTGACAACGCTACTGCAAAACGTCGAAGTTTTTCTTGTTTCTTTTCTTTGTGTCGTCAGTCCGGCACTTATTACTCTCGCGAACACTGTTTGTAAGCGAACATTGATAAGCAGAGAACAAGACAGGAAACTAACTACGAGCACGATGACCTCTCAAAATGCAAACAAAGCGTCCCCCAACGTTGACTGCCTTTCTGAACGCAACCTACTTGAGAAAGGTGTGACGGGTGCCGTGGCTATTATGTGGGCTCCCTTTCTTATCCATTCACTGATTTCCGTATCCTAAGTTCGTTTATAGTGAAGACCCCATTTAAGGAATATGAATTGTAGTTAAACGATGCGTCTAAGGAGCGCCGCAGGACGTGATATTCAGCAGTGGTGGTACCGCGGTGTGAGAATCGCGCTCCCTGGCTCCTGGATGATCGAAAAAAAAAATAAAGTAAGGGTGCTCGTATAAAGCAACAGTAGTTGCTTTACTGCTGTTCTGCGGCGATCATCCAGATGACAGCCATTTTGATAGGCACCAGCGCGCCTCTTATACGTCGTTAAGGTTGCGAATAGCTAAAGCAACCTCTTTTTTTTTTGTCTCAAAACTATTTTTTTTTATGTATCAGTGATATTTTGCTCCTTATGGTTGGACGGCATAAAATAGCCCTACGATGTTTGTTTGTCTTCCGTTTTGTGTTGTTGCGTGCTAATAAACCATTCTGGTGAACCAGATTTGCGCAACTGTATAATTGTGTTTGTCACTGACATCGATACAAATTACGCAATGCGGAAGTATCTTCAAAAGTAATTGAATTACATTTCTAAGTATTTCTACTCCACTCAAGATACCTTACTGTGAAAGTAACTTGAGTTGTATTTTAAATACTTTATGAAGCAGGTATTTGTAACTTAACGTAAATACTTTTATCGACTATTTTGTCCAACAATGATGTAAACAAATGCGAGGCGCACCTCACGTCACTTTCGAGTCGCCGCTGATTGGTTCAGCCGCTGAGCGACTAAGCAGTGGCGTCATGTGTCACATGACACAGGTCACGTGGCTTCGTAACGTCATAGCTCCGCCCTCCGGACCCCATTGTACCTCCAAAATGGGCGACCCCAGAAAAGCAAAAAAAAAAGCCTACGATGAGCGCCCCCCAAGGCAGAGCGAGGCACTTCATTTGAGGCGCTGGGCAGGCTTCCAGAGAGCGCCTCCGTCGGTTGATCATCAGCGCCACCGTGGCCAAGTGAGGAAACAGTGGGACTTCTAAAATCGGCATATTGAACGTTCTGATATTACGGCCAAATATAAGTAAAAGCAACTAGACATGCACAATTTTCTTTTTTCTTCTTACGTTGCTTGTGCACGCCTCAAAATTACAAAAGCGAAGACTTCGTCGAGCTTCCCTCCCTCCAAAAGCGTAACTGAAATTGCCCCCCCTTTCCCTCTCACCCTCGCCCACCATTTTTTTTTCATGTGAACTCTTGCATAAATATTTGACCTCACTTTGGGTATCAGTTTGTTTCCGGTCCCTTCGTCATCATATTGAAGACGTTTATGATGTCCGAGGAGCGTGTTTTGCCTGCAAGCTTTGCACGGTGTCATACGCAGTTGCCCGTCGCAAACTGATGCTCGTTCTCGTCGATTGAATATGCTGTTCACTTCTACTTAGAACAAAATAAACGCTGCTTGTTTAACCTTGTCTCGTGGGGTAAGTACATTTTTAAAATATTAAGTAGACTGATTTCTCGTTAGAGCCACATAGACACGGGTCGAAGTCAGTGTTCGACAAAACACTCGATAAAAGTATTTAAGTAGCTAAATACCTGCCTCATAAGGTATTTAAAATATACTCAAGTTACTTCCACTGTAAAATATCTTGAGTAGAGTACAAATACTTAGAAATGTAATTCAATTACTTTTGAATATACTTCCGCACTGCGTAATTTGTATCGATGTCAGTGACAAACACAACTATACAGTTGAGCAAATCTGGTTTAACAGAATGGTTTATAGCACGCAACAGCATAAAATTGCAAAAAGGAACAATAAAGAAAACATAGTAGGGTCATTCTATGCAGTCCAACTATAAGGAGCAAGATATCACTGATACAAGTTAAAAAAAAACATTTCTTGGACAAAAAATAAAGAAAATTGCAGTTATAATGACATCACTGAATATCACGTCCAGCGGTGCATTTTAGACGCATCGTTTAACTACAGTCCACATTCTCTATATCGGGAGTTCATTATAAACGAACTTGGGATACGGAAATGGATAACAAAGAAAGCCCACATAATAGCCACAGCACTGGTCGCACCCTCTTCAAGTAGGTTGCGTTCAGAAAGGCACTCAACGTTGGGGGGGCGCTTTGTTGGCATTTTGAGAGGTCATCCTGCTCGTAATTTGTTTCCTGTCCTGTTCTCTGCTGTTCGCGAGAGAAAAAAGTGCCTAATTGACAACAAAAGGACTAAAAGAAAAAAAAAACAAAAAAACTTGGGGTCAAATATGCAAGCAAATAAAAAAAAGCGTCTTTTTGTGTCCACTTCTCATTTTGTTCTATTTGTTATTTTCTTGACACTGAAGTCTGCATTGTTTTCGTGGGTCGTTTCCCGATCTGCGTTGCGCCTCAGTGTGGCTATCTTTACTTGCCTAAAACCACCCCTTCTGTTTGGGGATTTTGGGGGAGAAATTCTAGGAAAATAAAAAGGCGCCTTTGGGAAGACGAGGGGAATACCTTCGTTGTACGAGCTTTCGGGTGAAATACGAGTCACAATCGGCACAAAAGTGATGTTTTCACGAACTTAATCTAAGTCATCGTAGCTTATCGGAGCTAGCAACAGGATTTGGTTGTTCGAAACAATGTTCACGTTTGCTCGTCTCACGCCCACGCTGCTTCATACCAAAAAGCTCGGAAAATGGCGGAATGTCAAAAATGTACTTGAGATAATGAGTACAAGATACTCAGAAATGTAATTAAAGCACAGTATCAAATGCTCTAAATAGAAGCTATTTGCAAGATACCAAGAAACTTCAAAAAGTATTTGAAATACAGTATCTTGAGTAGAGTATTTGAGATAGGCACAAGTCTGGTCGAAATAGAGCAACCATTTTGGGCAGCTACGCGATCATGCTAATGGTGCAAGCAACAGTCCGCTCTGGAAGCGGCGAAGCGGAGAAAACGGTCCTTTCGGTTTTCGGTAACTACGATCAAACGTTCACAAAACGTCGTTCGATCAAGATGTGTCCGCGGTGCAGAGAGCAGTGAGCGTGTCAAAGGACTGATCTGACTTTAGAGTCATCGCATCGAATCCAAAGACAACGCCGGGCTTCGACCGCGTTAATTCCAAATATCGAGTCAAATAGCGCATTTAGAAATCCATATCAAGTCAGTCATTGCGAACAGAATGCTTGTTTCACACGATTTACGGCATTCATTCATCTGCGACGGCGTTGTATTTTCCACGGCCTCAACGGGAACCTGTAAAGCTTCACGGCTGCTGAGCTTGCGGGCTTGCGACAGTCCGGTGCGCAACAGTGCCTAGAGCTTCGACGTTTGGTCTTCTGCGACATCTGATAGCAATGCTAGGAATAAAATAAAATAAAAAAGACGCACGAATTAACACCTTCAAATTGACCCGTGAACAGCCCCCCGAGCAGGCAGGCTGGCGAAAGAGCCAGTGTTGCAAATATGATGAGCTACGGATGGCGCAACATCTCACACCAAACTTGATTGCCCTGAGGGTATAGGGAGCCATTCTGTGAGCAAGTCAGGATTACAGTAGGTTGTGTTCGAAACAGTGCTAATGATGGTGACGGCACACGTGACTGCTGCTGTCCAGCGATGCCGCAGGAAATCAAAACATACACGGCTAGAGTGATTCTGTTGTAGGCGAAGCACTAAAGAATGGGAATGGGTACTAGCTGACACAGTATTCAGTGACACTAGGGCTTAGGCAAGCTCGTCGTCGTCGCCGTTGCCTCGCCATCAAAGTCGCCTCCTTGAACACAAGAGCTAGATCTCCCAAGCAAACTTAGCCGACATTTTCATTGGACCAGTTTCCTGTGGAACTTGGATCACTCTGAATGGCACCCATTGAAGGTTTGTCGGTGCATTGGTGAAATGATACGTTTACATTCTTGTCTTCAGTCAGTCCAGCAGGCTGTGAGACTTGGCTGGCGCTGCGGTGAACAACACAACTGCGTCTCATTTCGCCTGGAGTGAATTAAATCCCTGCGCATGCTCCGTTTTACAGTGACCGCCTTTTTTTTTTTTTCTCGCATGCTCCGTTTTACAGTGACCGCCTTGACACGACGGCAGCGAGATCAACCTGTATGAGTTTAAAACAACCATGAAGATTCCGTTCCCCTCTTCAACTCTATCATAGCACCCTATAGGTTGAAAGCAACCGAATGGTGTCTCTTGAACGGACAACTGCCGAGACGAAAGCTTGACAAAGACACGCAGCACGAGCTCTTTGTTTGGGTAGCGTGCCCGAACACCGACCGTGGTGTGGGCGATCGATGACGGGCGAAAAATATACCCTTTCCGAATCGAAGTCGCCGGGACCAGGGGTGGGCGGCGTAGACTGGAGAACACCGGTTGCCCTGGGGAACGAGCCGAGAACGACGCTCGCTCGTGACACTGCACCAGTATCGAGTCAACAAGTCGCCGTTCCGGGCCATATCTACAGCCATGAGGGACACGACACTACGGTGAGAACGTCGTCGTTAATTAGCAGGCCGCACTGTATATGGTCATTTTCCCGCTGAGCAAACCGTGGTCGAGTGGCGTGCGTGTTTCTTCAGCGACACAATGTCCAAGACTCGCACAATACCATGACGGTGCCTCAAAGTGACTGGTCTCATTTCGAATTTCGGAGCCTCGGGATGACACGCGACGTTTTGTAAAATATGACATCACCGGAATAAATATTTAACAAGAGCCAGTACTGAGCAACTTCAAAACGTTAATGAAAAGAGAGTTAGTATGCAGGCGAGCTGGTGATAGTTAATCATGATGTTTAAAGCCCGATACTGTGTTGAGGGAACAAATAGAAAACTACGAATTCAACGAAAAAGACACAAGAAAAGGCGTTTCAAACGCCAAATTGAATCCATCGGGGCAATATAAGGAGCGAGTGAAAATAAACGATATAGCTACGTTTGAGGCGTCTTCTCCTGTGTCTTTCGACTTCAATGTCTCCTATTTTTTCGCTCACCACAGTCTCGGGTTTTAAACATCATGTTCGAAACAAGGTAAGCAATACAAGTTTACCAGCCTTGTAGCAACAATCAACAGATTATTGTCACTAATGATAATAAACCTTTTTCTAAATTACCCAAGCATCAAGGAGAATGCAAGGATTGGTGTTCTACGCGCCGCACGTGCTGGCCTCAGCAGTAGCAACTTTTCTAAAGCAAATACCTAAAACAAATGACATCTTGCACGAGCGTTCATCAACGCCTTATTTTAGTTATTTACTTGGAATCTTTTATACGGGGAAGGCGTGCGCGTGTGGCGCATGGAACACCAATCCCTGCATTATCCTTGATGCTTGTGGAATTTAGCAATAGGTCTATTGATGAGGTGACGAAAACTGATGATGCCCCCCGTATTGAAAGCGAAAAGTCTATTGAAGTTTTTTTTTTCCCGCTACGTGAAGGCGATGTCCTTATTTGAATCAATCGTGACATTCCGGCTTTTAGTCTATTTTGGCGTTAATCACTGATCATAATAGCTTAGTAACTTGGGCCATGTACCTCGATCATCAATATTTTCGGCTAATCCCGTTTTATTTTCGGGCACCAGATGTTTCAGGCGTCTGGAAAACAAGGTGTCGCTCAAGTCTCGCTGCCTGAAGAAAGTTGCGCAACTGCTGATGATGGGAAACCCGACGAGGGACGGCAACGGGCACAACCCGTTTTGTCGCTTCCCCAGCAACCTGGTTGAGGAACTCGTCGAGACCGTGATCCAGTTGTCCCCCAAAGCCAGGGACAAGCTGACCCCTGACGTTTGTGCGGAGGACCTGCACGTCCTTCTATGTAGCGGACGCCTTCGCCACTTTTCACTCTGGGACGTGGAGATGCACAGCCGGGACTTTTCGAGTGCACTGAAGCAGATGGCGAACCACAGCGGACTTCTGCGTGAGATCGAAATCGACGGGGTCTACGTGCGCGGTAAGAGACCAGAGACCATACTGCGGAGCTTCGAGAACATCGGACGCCTCCTGCGCTCCGCGCGACAGCTCCAAGTTCTCAAGCTCGGGCTAAGCTCGCGGTCTCTCGTAGACCTGCTCCAGCTGTCCGATCTCGAGGAGCTTTCGCTCACCTATGACTGTCACGTGGAACTGGACGAGGTTGTTACTCTGTGGGAGAGGACGGGAGGCGTGCTCTTGCCAAGGCTTAGGTCGTTCTACTACGGAGACTATTTCTCGTCGGCCTCCAGCCGCACCGTCGCGCACCTGCTGCAGCACTGTCCCCTCCTCGTTGACCTCAGGGCCGACGCCGCGGGGGCCCTGCTCGCCATCCACGAGAAGCAGTTCCACCGTGACGGTCGTCTGGACACCAGGTACCGCTTGCAGAAGACGGTTTTGGGGTCCTACATCTACGGCACCAAGGAGGACGCCGCCGGCCCTTCACCCCTCTGTGTCCAGATAGCGACCACGACGTGTCCGCTACTGGTGGACTTGGACATCTACGTGGACAGCCATGACTCCATCCTCTCCTTGACCGAGTTCTCCCATCTCCAGTACCTCAAGATCATGTGGGTCAACTCCAAGGTAGCAGGATGCTTCGAAACGAGTACGCTGAGTCTCTTGCACGAAGTCGGCTGCCAGCTGCTCGAACTTTGCCTTCACTCCTTCGTGAAGGTCGACCTAAACGCCGTAACGTCTCTCTGTCCTTCCTTGGAGGCATTCGGCTTGATTCAATGCAGGACAGTCGCAAACCATGGACCAGTGTCGGAACCTTTTTCGAAGCTTTCGAAACTCCGATTCATCCCTCCGGCGGAGTACCCGGATATTCAAGCCGAGGACGACCTCGTCTGTCTGCTGTGCTCCTGTTATGACCTGACATCGTTCGTTGCTGACGTGGTTACGGATAATTTCCTGTTTCTAGTGGAAAGACTGCTGTCTGTGAACAGTTTTTCGAGACTGCAGCTGGTGGGAATGTACTGCCAGCAGCCTACGCCTTCGCTGAGGGACGGCCTGCTGACCTTTCTGGCGGCTTGCAGCAGCCTCAAGTACATCGTGGTGGCTGATAGTGACATCAGCGATCTGGCGCTACAGGCGAACCCTAGTTTGATAGTGAGGTACGAGTACCTTTACGTTGGACTCTGAGGCGCACAAAATGTTCGGGGCTGGGGTCTCTTGTTCTCCTTCGATGAAACGATAAGGTGCCGACTGTTTTCCATGGAGGGAGACAAAAGTTGAATTTTGTCCTGTGAATTATTTGCTCTGCGCATGGCGGTAGAGTCGCTGTTGCACCGAGCGCAAACTGAACCTGCCGCCGGGCGAAGCTTCTGGTTGTACACCGCAGGTTAGCTTCATAGAGCAAGCTCAATCTAAGACTGCATATTCAAAAATTGGGAGCGTCCTTAAACCTTCAACGTTCTGGAATGAATGAAAGGAAGTATTTAAGAAGTGATCATGTTAAGCCACCTTCTATAGTATAGGTGACATTGCATCAATGTATATGCTATATATATAAAAAGTGAAGGTCAGGTGATTTGGGGCCACGTTACATATATTTTCCCGCTAAATTTAGCAGGGAAACTACACTGGTGTATAGGTCACGTGACGTCATTTACGTGTCATCAGTTTCCCCGCCAATTTAGCGGGGAAACGGAGTTGGCGTATAAATCATGTGACGTCAATTTTTCCGCTAAACTTAGCTGGGAAACTGATTTGTTCTATAGGTCCCGTGACGTCAGGTCACGTGATATCAAATTTCCCGTTAAATTTAGGGGAAAATTAAATTGGTATATAGGTCATGCGACGTCCACTTTTCCGCTAAATTTAGCGGGGAAACTTAGATGGTCTGTAAGTCCCATAACGTCAGGCCTCGTGACATCAAATTTCCCGCTAAATTTAGCGGGGAAACTGAGTTCGTGCATAGGTAGCGTAAAATAGATTTCCCCGCTAAATTTAGCGGGAAATGCGTGGAGGGACAGAAAACATTTTGGGATTGGGGGTAGCGTTACGACTCGCATTTTATGCTTTAAAAGCTTCCGTATACTCTGTTTCATACTTAGCGTGCAGCGGTGTCAAAGCTACTGGCGCGAGCATGGTGCTTGATCTCGTTGATCATTCGCACGAGTTCTCGCGCAAACAAAACCATAGATAAAGCCACGCGCTGGCGCCAGTAGCTTTGACACCGTTGCACACTAAGTATGAAACAGAGTATAGTGTTCATCAAGCACTCGCTACTCAGCGTCCACTTCCTTGTGCTGTGGAGGTATTCTCTGCAGTGCTGTCAAATCTCTTTGCTCGAACGTGTGCGCGAAAGAGACGCGCTGCGAAGCCACGTGGTCGCGCAGCAGTGCGCAGCTGCAGCACTGTCCGAGGAGATCACATTTTGTGCTATTATTCCGAAAACAAGATTTCTAAGAAAAATACAAACGCGCAGACTGGGGGCCGTGGAGCGGAGCAATACAAGATGTGCAGCACAATCTGTCCCGCGCGTGCTCGTTGACCATGCTTTGGCTGAGCGTGCGCCGCGGTGTTATCGAACACTCCGGATAACACGTCTCCTTTTCCAGCTCGCGCTGGAGGTCTGCAGATATTATGCGGTAACAGACTGTAATTATTCCGCACAGATGCTCGTATATTTGGGGAAGGAGTGCGTGCTTGTTAGCGATTATGTCAGCGGGAGCGTTCGATTGTTCCGCGTCCCTCACGTCTGTGTATACGGTTAGTGGCCCGCGAGGTGCGACTCGTGCTCTTTGAGCACCCGCTCGGGGTTCCTAATAAAAGGGAGTATAGTTTATTTGCTGCTGCCGCCCTTTAGTTGCTCGTCTGGGGACGATCAGTTTTAGAGTTCGCGCTGCCACTGGGTCCGGACATTTCATCGGATATCATTTCATCAACCCAAAATTCCATCACATGCCGTGAGATGAAAAAAAAAGAGGAAGTCCGTCGTTTTATTGCGCAGGGAGACGGCATTCGTCTGATGCAATGACCTCGCTTTATAGTTTCGGTCAAATCATCGCCGTATACGCAATAAATCCTGCGTCCTATTTATGATGAGGTTTGCTAAGAGGCGTCTTATGCTAGTCTCGATAATATAAGGCTGCATTGCTCCTGGTCGGGTCCCTTACAGTACCACGTGTTCCTTTGCAGTAGCGTGTACTCCGTTCACACTTAGGCTGAGACGAGAAGCTCCGCCTTCAGCGCGAACTTTCTTCCCTTGCTAACACAAGTGGGAACGCGCAGGCACGCGCAACCAAAGCGCTGCGGAAGCCAGCGAGCTAGCGCTGAAGGCGGAGCTTCTGGTCTCAGCTTAGAGCGGAGTATAGTCAGGAATAATTTTCGGGGGGGGGGGGGGGGGGGGGGTGTTTTGCCCCATTCTCGCGTGTAGTAGTCGATGTATCTGTGCAATTCAAGGGTACGGACACGGCCGTCCTCAACCCTCCGGCTGGCTGAAACATTTCGGTAGTCATTCAAATTTTTTCTTCCTTCGCTAAAAAAAAAAAAAAAGAAGAAGGTCATGATTTCGGGGAAAATTGACCCCCCAAACCACCCCTCTGCCTACGCCAATGTTCCTTTGAGCAGTGAACACGAGGACGCAAGCGTAGCTTTCTGGAAGAAATTACAACGTCGCGGTTCACATAATAAGTGTTTGGAAGGTCGAAGTTCAATGCGTGCATCTTACGCAGTTGGATTACCGCATTATAACGAACAATTCGATGAAACGCCGTTGGATAAAATGCCCGGTGACCCGGCGTAGCCTGCATAGCGTACTGTAACTGGATGACGCTTGTGCTCTAACTGAACGAAGGCTTTACTCGCTGAGTGCACAGATTTGCTCGCAAGAAGATATCGGTAAATAAAAGAGAATAAACGTTCTAGCGCAGTAGCGTAGAGCACCTTCGTGCATACGCACTGGTGGCGACATCTGGGTGTCATCTCCGTTCTTTTACGGACGAGTTTATGTAAAAAGGTAAATTCCACCTCGAACATCATAAGCAGACCCGGCTGCACGAAAAAGCACGAAACTTGCTTTGTTGAGTGTACAGAAGAGATTGTGTACTCCGTGCCATTATCGTGCGGGCGTCGTTATGTGGGGCAGACTGGTCGCTGCCTAAATGAAATTTTGAGGGAACAGCGTTACAACGTTGATGCCGTCATATCAGGACACCTCGGTGTGCATTGCCGGGATTGTGGTTGTACTCCGACGTTCACAGATTGTACAGCACTAAACAAAAACGGAAACAAAACCACGAGGGAAATACTCGAGGCTCGAGAAATTGCTAGATTAGGGCTGCAACGTGTCAGCGCACCCCCTTTATCGTTATCCGAAAAAGAATTGCAGTTTCTTGACCAAGCGTGACTATAGTTTCGGCTGGGTGCCGATGAGTGATGCAAGAATTTGAGCCTTTTTATGTTGTGTTTTAAGATTTTTACGATGTGTATTTTATATCTTCCTAACTTGTTTGTGTTGTTGCCGGTCATATATACCGAGCTGCAGCGGAAATAAAGTTCAGTTGTAAGTAGCGCTGTGTCTGTGTCTGTGTCCGTTGTCCGGTAGCGCTTTTTAATCATGACCTCCCAGAGTTCATTCATGTTTTCGTCGGCACGCGCCAGCGGTAATTGTTTTAGAGCGTGTGAGCTGTTGGTTCCCCGGTTTCTCGACGGCATGAGTGTAAACAAAAAGTTTTTCGGCTCAATTCAGCGGAAAAATTGACGTCACGTGAGCTATCCACCGATTCAGTTTCCCCGCTAAATTTGTCAGGAATACACGCGACGTCCTTAAAACAGTTTATTCATCAGCAACGTATCGACGAATGTCAATCGATCGTCAGCGTCATATCGTCGAGTAAGCGCAAAGCCGACGCTGTCTAAACGCCTCACGTCGGGTGATGGTGGCGCAATGTTTTTGTCAGGGTGCACGTCTCCACCCTGACATGTCTGAGACACAGGAGTCACGGTGTAAGTAACCTGGCGCATTGTTTTCCTCGGACAACAAGCAGTCTTGGGTTTTCCTCGGACAACAAGCAGTCTACGCGTTACTGTAGCTTCGTTACTTTTTTGGTAACTTCTAACTGTAACGAGTTACTTTTTAAAAATATAACTTGTAACTGCAGTTCTATTACTTTTTCTCAGGTAACGATGAAAGTAACGACGTTACTTTTGTCGTTATTTCGAAGTTTCTTTAAGATAATATATCATTGAACGCGTACAATCTAGCTGTTCCTTGCACTTTCCAAATTGTCTGTTCCTGCATCTCGAACGTCAAGTTGGCCTTGCACAAGCTTCCGTATACGTTCTTTCTCGCGAGTCACGACTCGAATATAGCCACGTGTAAATTTGAGAAAACAAAAATCTAGCTATTTTTACAAACTGGATTGTGCTTTGTGACTCAACACTTACATCTTAGTATCTTGGAGCACTATCTATGTTGCGGTTTTTCTTTTTTTCTGCGCAAAAGCTTTTTAATCGGGTCAATCAACCGTGAAACAACAATACACGCGGAGGGCACGCGGGGCGCCGGATTAGTGGTGTATTTTGATTTACGCCAGTACACCTGCGTGGTGTCAACAGTCGAGGCAAAATGTACTGCTGTTTGCGCGGGGTTTGTTTCTGGCTTGGCGGGTACGAGCTGAAATATGTCCCGGCACTCTGTGAACTCAGCGCAACCGTCAACGAGCCAGCAATGGGTCAGTGCTATCAAGGATAGGATAACAACAAAGAACTATCATGGCCGACGTACAAGAGTATTTTGCTTTGTTGAAGGTGGTTGCATACAAAAGCGTAAAAAGCGTACCTTTATATTCTATGAAACAGAACTTAAGGACGGGCGTTTTCTAGTTTTTCCTAATTTTACTAATTTTTTGTGCTGCAAAAAAGTAACTGAAAAATAACTTCGTTACTTCTTAAAAGTAACTGTAACGAGTTACTCTTTTGTTGCGGTAACTGTAACGGTAATTTCGCTACTTTCTTTCTGAAAGTAACTGTAACTGTAACGAATTACTTTTGAAAAGTAACTTACCCAAGACTGACAGCAAGTAGTCAACGGTGTGACCATCCAGTCGACCGACGCAGTCAAGCAGCGCCAAAGCCGCATATCGCTCGTCGACTTTTGCCAGCTAGACCAACCACGCACACCGAATATGATTTTT